AGCTACACAATGTTCAACGAATACATCCATGACTTTTAATCCCTGCAGATTCTTTTTTTTTTTTTTTTGCTGTTCAATTAGAACAAAATTAATACCATGTTGTGTCAACGACGTTCCTATATTGTGTTTGATTTTTATAGCAACCCTACATTTACAGATCAGTCAAATCATGTGCTTCTGTATACATCTTTTCATCAATTTCACAAGTTTGTGATTCTTTGTTACTTTGACTTAAATTAAAATCACAACCATATTGTAAAAATTTTAATTTCATTAACATGTTAAAGCCTTTTTTTTAAAAAAGTGTCACTTTCTTATTTTATTTTTAAGTTTTTAATACAATAAATTAAATCAGTCACAAGATAAGGGTGATCAAAGTGATGCTAGGGTTTCCCGTGTAACAAATTTTCGTTTAATAAATTAGCTCAACTCCCCTTTAGATCTCTTGCAAGTGACGTCGACCGACATCTCTTCAGCGGAAAGTTAGAAAAAATATTTTTTTTATGCATTTATGTCATATATTGATACATCTTGACTTTTACGTGATTTTATTTTTTTATATTTTGACATATTTTAGTTAAAATTCTGACTCTGCCACTAAATTGCAAAGATAGTTTTTGATTTCACATGTATGTCAATAAAACTTTATAATTATTAGTATTCCGTTATGGCTTTTTAATTATTTATACATTTGTTGCTCAGAAACTCATTTGTTGTCAACCTTTAATTAATTCACGCACCAAATAATGTATAGTACCTTAGTTATAATTTGTTTATTGATTTAAGATCTGAATTTGAATTTAAACACAATCATTCTTCCTAAATATAATGACCGTTTACACGTGCCAACTGTTCACGATTCTGGACGGCTGCTGTTTTCTTTTTCAAAAATAATATTCCGTGCTGATTTTAAAATCATTACTAGAATTCGATGAACTAATACAGACAAATTTTATCGCTAAATTAAAAAAATCTCATGCTAATCTTATTTAGCTAAGAATTAGTTAGAAATTGTCGATAAATTATGTAGTTTAAGTTTATGTTTTCTTGTAGTGAATGTACTTAGTATACAAATTCCAAATTATTTGGGAGAAGCGTTTGATCATATAGCAATACGTCCATGACCTAATATTTGGCTGGATTTTTTTTCTATCTGAAATTGGAAAGGGTCATACACAAAAAAGAATTATAGATCGGACGAATTATGTGAGTTTAACTGAACACATTGTTTTCTATTCGACCACAAACATGCTGGTTGAACATGTTTGAACGTTATTCTGTGAGGTTGTACAACTTGTAAAGTTGAGTATTTGAACATTATGTGATATGAATTATCCAACAACATGCATGTGCCATAATATTTTGACCTAATCTAATCAAATACAATTATACAAAGGCAATGAATCGGATTCTCATTGGTTCAGTTGACTAATCCATTCTGTCATAAACTAATAAAAGAGGGGGGCACAAATGACTAACATGTTATTTTGCGTTGGATTTTTCACTGAAAAATGTTCAATAGTTATTTTCACGGAAAAAATAGTTATGTTTTTCGTAAAAGAAAAAAATTAGGAAGGTTTCTTAAGGGCTTCGTTAAATATAGGACCAATAAGGAAGTGGGATAAAATTTCTTAAGGGCTTGGATGAGTGAACCTTCCTTTGATATTGGTTGGGGATAAATTTCTTAAAATGTTTAAAAACCTTGAAAAATGGTGTGCTAATTTTAAAGTTATAATGACTTGGAACTAAAAGAATAATTAAGTTTTAAGTACTATTTTGTTAACTTAAACTATAAAATAATTAATTTTCAATTTCAATCAAATATGGTTAAAAATCGAAATTCCTACTAAAATGGGCTTTTCATTCAATTCACACATCCAACTTCCCTACCTAAGGCAAGTTAGGCTGATCTTGATCTAAAATGGGCCTGTTGGACTTGGGCCGAGCCTGGGGTCAATCTTTGGATAAGAGGAAAATTCAAAAATAAAGACTAGAAACATAATTAAGCTTTTTAGCTATGGTTTAATTACGATCCGTAACTACATGTTAGAAGGAGGAGAGAGTCGAACAAGATTGGGAGAGGGAGTAGAGAGGGGGGGGGGGGGGGGG